CCAGCTGTGCATATTAGGACACAGCTGTCGGGTTGAGGTGCAGATAAGCCATCTGGTGCTTGGTTCTGGGTGGTTAAATTCCAGCAAGGGATTTAACTTCATATCCAGCTGTGATAAAGTAAATTGAAGGCTGCATATTATTCCTCAGAAATCACTCCTTGGGGATATTTCTCAGAAATAAATTTTAACCAGAGGTGTCATTGATTGGTTTTACACTTTCAATTATACATTTGCCAAAATAAAACCAAAGAGAAAACTGTTCAGTCATTTCATTTTCTTTGTATGAAATAAAACAAAATAGTTAAAGAGAATGTAGCCTTTCAGTCTTCCTCAAATTATATGTGTACAGGGACAATCGGCTGTAAAACTGCCTGGCTCCATACATCCCTCAGAATGAAGACAAGAAAACTCAAGTGATCCATAAAGGCTGAGTAAGAGAGCAAAAGTGGTAATTAGCCTGATTTCCACAATCACGATACCTGCAGGTATGTAAAATATGAGAAAACAACAAAATTTCACAATAGTTATCTTTGTGCTGAGGCACAGCCCTTTTTCAATTTCAAATGTTTTCCAAGGAGAGATTTTAAAATACTATCTTGATTCTGAATGTGTGTAATCATAGAGTCCTGAGAAAGAAAAGGACTTTGTAAAGTTTGTCTTTACCAGTGTCATCAGATATTTCTGTATATAACTAACTATACTGCAGAAGTAATCTTTATTACTTTTGATCATTTTCAAAGAAGCAGATTTTTAGTATGTATTATTGTAATGTTTTAGTGTTTACTGTATATGAATACTTTTATCTAAAGCAAATAATACTAGGATTTATCAGTTAACAAATGGAATAGACTTATGGTATGTATTAGGCATGTTAACTTGTCTATTCATGAATTATGACCATAATTATGTAAACTTGTTTACACAAAAATTATTTTCCATGCATTTACTTTTATTGAGATATACAAATTATACTATTATCTGTATATACTACTTTCTACATATTTCATACAAAATGTATATCATGTATGTATAAATATGAAAATACTGTGTGTAACTTGATGAATTTTTATATATAACAATTCACCCATGTAGTCAACACATAGATCAAAGTATTCAAGATTCATAAGAGCGCTCTTTAGTCAGTTCCTGCTCCTTCCCATATATAAGCCTTACTGTGTCCTCTATCATTATAGATTTGTTTGCCTGTTCTTGACCTTTATGTGAATAAGCAATACAATTTATATTCTTTTGTGTCTGGCTTCCTTGTATTAATATTATGTATGTTAGATTTATTTACATAATTGCATATTGGTATCATTCTTTTTTCACTTTTGTGTAACTCATTGCTTTACAATTTATTTTTCCATTATAATATTGATTGATTGATTGTATTGTTTCTAGTTTGGGACTTGCTCCTGCTAATGGACCTGCGTAAGTTTTGGGTAGAATTTAGCACTCATTTCTGTGATGTGTTTCCCCAGATTTACTGCTCTTAAACAACATCTTCCAAGTACAGTACCTTTGTCCATTTTACAGATCTACATATATGGGGGAAAATTAACTAATATCAGAAAATCATGTGCTTAAAACCTCTTTGCTTAGGAAATATTCCATTGTTTATTTCATGTTTTACTTTATCTCTATGCTCAAATCTTCTTTCTTGCCAAGAAAACAAAATATGGTTGAAATGATATCCAGTAAAACTTAAGCATGAAGGTGTAACAGGACTAAGCCATAGGCAGAAATCATAAAAAAAACTAATCATTTTACCATAAGCCCACTCTCTGAAATTCTTTGCTTCAGAAGACATACTGCAAACAGTTTGGAATATCTGTCATTACCTGCAGCAACTTTCAACCCATCCCTGCAAAAAACTAAAGGAGCATGCAAAACTTTTGTGAAAAAGCACCCTGATCACTGGGAGAGAAAAAGCTGCCCTGCTCTTGGTCTCCTGACCTCTTCCATCAGAAAGAGGAAGAAAAAACAGTAGGAACATTGTTAATATATATTTAGAAAGTTCATTCCATGAGGCCTGCTAAGTTCAGCAACACTGTTTTGTTTGGTCTCCACCTCAACACTAATATAATTCAAAACTTGGAAGACCATAAGTTCTATTGATTCAGTGCTGTTAGCTTCCACCCAATTGCTTAGAATAAAAACGCAGAAGTTATCCTTCTCTTTTCCTCCTTAAACCATGTTTAACCCACTAGAAAGTGCAATTGGGTCTTAATAAAATATTCCAAATATGCCCACTCTTAACTGTCTACGCAGTTGCTTCTCTTGTCCACACCACTGTCACCACACCCCTACACTAGCCACAGGAGCCCAGTAGTTACGTTTCTGCTTCAACTTTTCACTTGTATAGTGTACGTCCCCAGTGCAACTAAAGCTACCTTTTGTGAATATTTTTTTGATGATGCTTCTCCAGAGTAAAAAGAAAACAAAAAGTTCTGGTTACCTCTCAGTGTATGTACTTGAATAAAAAACCTCTTCTTTCTTGAAAAGGTTCTTGCGTCTCAATTTTGCCAAAACATTGGGAATCTCCTAGCAATCTTAAAAATACCGACTTTCCTGGTCATACGGAAATGTAAGGCTTCCCCCACGTTTCTGACAGGGAGCCAAGTCTGACAAACATTTCTCTAGGATTCCCTTTCCTGCTCCTGTTGCTCTTTCCTCTTTCCCTCTCTGCTTCACCCCAAATGCCTTCTTGCTGGTTTTGTTTTTGTTTATTTTATTGGGGTGTGTTTGAATATAGAATGATGTTAATCATTTTGGGAAGTATGTATGTATGTATCTTGATCGTTCTCAATCCTTTTCTCTCCGCTCTCACTAAGTCTCTCCTACTGATCCCCTTCCCAGTCACTAAGTGTCTTCTTGTTTCCTACCATCCCTTCTTTATTTTATCATTTATTTCTTTATTTATATTTTTGTTTCTCAAATATAAGGAACCATGTGATATTTAACTATCCATGTCTGATTTTTTTTTGGTTGACACTGGTGTCAAGTTCCATCCATTTTGCTGTAAATGATACGATTTCATTCTTCTTTATGTCTGAATCATATTCCATTATGTATATATGCATCTTTTCTTCATCATTCATCTGTTTTATAGGCAACTAGCTTGCTTCCAGAGCTTAGCTATTGTGAATTGTACTGCTATAAACGTGGGTATGAATGTATTACTATAGCAGGATGCCTTTAACTCTTTCAGGAAAATACCTAGGAGAAGTATAGCTGGGTTAAATGGAGTTTTTGTTTTTACTTTCTTTGAGGAAACTCCAAACCAATTTCCAGTGGTTGTACTAGTTCATATTCCTGCCAACTATGTGAAAGGTTTCCATTTTTCCTGCAACCTCACCAGTATTCCTTGCTTGAGTTTTTGTTAATTGATAGCTGTTTTGACTGGGGTAAAATGAAATCTGAGAGTTGTCCTGATTTGTATTTGTGTAAAGGCTAAAGCTGTTGACTATATTTTCACACACTAATTGCCCAGAAGACTTTTAGATCTGATAAAGAATTCACCAGAGTGGCAGGATATAAAACACAAAATTCAATCACGTTCTCATACACCTATAATAAACCTACCGAGAAAGAAATCACAATAGCTTTACAAATTCCATTCACAATAGCTTTAAAAATAAAGTACCTAGGAATCAACCTCACCAAGGAGATAAAAGACCTGTACAGTGAAAATTACAGAACTCTGAAAAAAGAAATTAAAGAGGACATTTGAAAGTGGATAGGGGCCGGTATGTAGCTCAGCAGCCTAGCACCTGCCTGGCAAGAAAGTGCAAGGTTCTGAGTTTGAGTCCTCATACCAACAAAAGAGAAAGAAAGAAAAAGTAATGGGAAAGACATCTTTTGTTCTTGGATTGGCAGAATTAATATTGCTAAAACACCCATTTGTTCATAAGCAACCTATAGATATAATGTAATCCCCATTAAAATAACATTCTTGTCAAAATCAGAACAAATCTCAAATTCATGTGGCATCAGAAAAGACCAAGAATAGTTAAAGCAATCCTGAGCAAAAGGAAAAAAGTTAGAGAAGTCATAATAATAGATTTAAGAGCAAAATGAGAGAGCTCACAGTAATTGAATTCTGTAGCACCAAAAGCAACAAGGTTCCACCAAAAAAAAAAAAATGTAGACCACTGGAATAGCCTAAAAGATTCAGAAACAACCTCATGCACCTATAAGGAGCGATTGGCAAACCAACCAAAAATATGTTGGAGGAAGGATAGCCTCTTTAACAAATGGTGCTGGGAATCCATATGCAGAAGATTGAAACTAGATTGCTATCTCTCACCCTGTATTACAATCAAATCAGAATGGATAGAAGATGTAGACATTAGAACAGGAACACTGAACTGCTTGAAAGATAGCATAGGGAAAACACTTGAAGCCATAGGCACGGACAGGCAAAGACTTCCTGAATGGAATTTCAGTAGCACAGCTAATAATGTTACCAATCAACAAATGGGATTATATCAAATAATAGTATTGTGCATAGTGAAGGAGGCATTTAACAGAGTGAAAAGGCAACCTACAGAATGAGAAAAAGTTTTGCCAGTTACTCTTTTGATGGACTAAGATCTAGAATATACAGACTAAAAATAAATCGACATCCCCCAAACAAATGATCTAATAATGAAAAGGGCAAATAAATTAACACTTCTTAAAAGAAACACAAATATCTAATAAGTACTTCTTACTATTTTCTGAGCATACTAAATTAAAGTTTTACTTTTTTCTTGGGATAGAGGAACGACTGTATCTGGCTGGACTAGATCCTGGTTGAACAGTCTCATGAGCTGGCTGGTTATAGGGCTAGGATTCTTTGCTGTATTCCTCTGTATTGGAGAAGCAAAATCCAGTCTCCCTTAGAAGAAGGGTGGAAATGGGAAATCCCTGTCCTATATGCTGAAGATCATGTACCTTTTTCTTTGCTCATGTGTCCCCTTTTTATCTTTTGATATAAAATCATTATTCTGCTTTTTAGATACATCTGCCTGCATCACCCTGGCTTAGGCCTGGTGTCCTGATTGCTCACAAAGAGGGGTACAAGGTGGGTATATTTCAGCTGCAAGGCAAATTTTGTAAATCTGTCTTCTGAGTTAGAACCTGAACAAGAGAGAATCCAGGAGTCTAAGTCCAAATTGCACTCTGGCTCTGAGGCTGTCTGTTTACTGTGGTTAGGAGTCTGAGTACTAAATTTTGGTTGAAGATTGATTACTGAACAACAGGAAATCTAATTCATATTCATGCCATAGGGTGTTTCAACGTGGTAAATGCTAATCTTAATTATTATGACCATGGGAATTTTTTATTTTACTGATAAACAGATATGAGAGATTGATAAACAGGTATGAAAGGTTGTTGTTGGTTTAGAGCAATGTAGCTTGTGAAGAAAACAGCTGAGATTTGAACTTGACTTTAAGAACAGTGCACTGTATTTTACAATGCTGATTTTTAAGACTAACAAAATATATTGAGAATAAAAGGACTCAAAGAACCTTGGAGAAACTCTAACATTATGTTATAGAAAGAATAAAAATCAGAATGAGAGAAATTTTATTTTGCGTTAAACAGAAACCAATCTAGCTGTCTTAAACAGAAAGGAATTTACTGTAGAAAATTAAGTTTTAATAAGTACATACAGGTAATTATTATACAAAAATGGAAACAATATGTTTTTTAAAATTGGAAGCTGTGAGAACTATCACGATGTCCTAAGTGTATGTGGCTAAATCCTTTTATGATTAGAACGCTTCTGAGACAGAAAATGTGAATCCTGTAACATGCACAACAGAAAATAGGAAAATAGTTGAGACAGAAGAAATCAAATCAAAACAAAACAAAATCTTTGTGTGCCCTACATAGCAGGTCAACAATAAATACATTTAGTAAAATCTCTTAGAATAATTTCTGGATATACAGAGAAGGTTGGAAATACTAGTTATTAGTATACCATCCTACATCTGTCTAGGAGAAGCTGTAGAATAAATAGATTGTGTAACTAACAAACATCATTTGTAGCAAGCTTCAGGTATCTCAGTGTTTGCAAAACTGTTTCAGTTATCCCTTTGTCAAAATGAGGGGCAAGACAGCTGGCTGTGGAGGACTCCAGATTTAATATTTGGTAAATGGATTCTAAACACATCTGGGAAGTGTTACAGTGGCCCGTCCCTGCCTCAGCAGATTCTGTTTTTGTTTTTCCTTCATTAGATGCTTTTTTTAAATTATAAAAGCAGTATGTACCTATCATATCAAACAATGGAAATATATGAATAAAATGTTAAGAAATGTACCAGTCCAATTTCCCTAACTAATTCTGCTGACAAATGTTAATGGTCAATCAACCGATTTTAAATTCAAATAACATTTGTTTATTTTGAACAAATTTACTGAATAGATGTAGGAGTTAAAATAGCATTCTTTCAGATGCAGGTCATTTCAGGGAATTAATGGTGGAAAATACAAAGACAGTAAACTTAAATTCTTTATGGACATTGAATAAAAAGACTCAGAACAACCAAATTATCTTTTTGATATTTTATAATTAATTCTGAAAATACTCTTTGGTATTATTCTGAAGAAAAAATTTACTGAGCATGACTGAAGAGAGGAGCTTCATACATAGTGGATGTTTTCTCAACATTTATTAAGATAGAGAAAAGCACATTCAAATTATTTTAAATGTCAGGCTCTATGTTCATAACCAATAGACTTCTCATTATAAATATTATTTTCCGGCCACTGTAATCATCAAAATAACATGCAAAATGTGTTAATACATTTTTGTTTAGTTTCTCTACACCATTTCAGAAAAGTTCTATGTTTAAGAGTTTATATATTTTCTTTTAATGTTTTATTTTATAGTTGAATATTTTTAAAAATTTATGCTGTAAGTTTTCTGCATTCCACTTGTACGCTACTTTAAATAGAATATTTATTAGCTCATAGGCCCTCAGCACCACTTACATCAATGTTTCTGTCAGAAAAACAAATTCTGAAGTCCAAATAAAATAGTACTTAGAATTCTAAACATTTTTATAACTTAAGGACTGCCTATAATGCTTCATTTGGGGCTTTTAATCCATAGTATCAGACAAATATGAAATATACATTAGTGGTGCAGAAGGAAAAGGAGACATCTCCTTCAGGTACCTCTCAAAAATATTTAAACAATCCAATACAGATGGATACCTGCTTTTTTATTTTATTTTACTTTATTTTCTGGATCATCTCAGAGAGAGCTTTGCCCCAGTAGTTCCCTCTAAGAGGCTTACTGATCCAGGCTAATCTAGCCCAAGCTGTGTTGAGGAAATCTGCATTCGAGCTGGGTTTTCCCCTGCCCTCCTTTCTTCCTCCTGTGAGGACTTTTCTCCTTATTAAGCAGCTCACTGGCGCTGCCATTAATCTAGGTATCAAGGCCCTGTAATAGGCATTAGTTTATAGTTACTGAGCTATAGTATCCAACTTGCTCAACATGAAGCACATGATTTAATTTAAATAACACCCAAATTCACAGCTCAACCAATTGATTTTTAATGAGAATTTCACATATTTTATTTTGTGCAAGCAGTATTAGCCTTATGCATCAGTAACTTAAGAAAGAGAAAATGGGAGGTGTGAGTTTTAAAATATATAAGCTTCTTAATTGAAACTTCAAGTTCTGCAATTAAAGCAGATTGAAGTCAATTTGATGACAAAACATTTTATAAAGTGTGTGGTGTGGTTATGAGGAACAGATATTTTATTCTCATTGGTTTTAATTTTGCTATAGATCCTGAGTGTTTGAAAAAATTTTATATGCTTTTAGATATAGTTTCATTGGTGTAAATTTGAAAGAAAATACTGAACTCTCTAAGGTTGAATCTTTTCCTTTTTTCCCTAAAAGAAAGATGATAAGTAGCAAGAATGAAAGCACCTCACTTTGAAAAATAAACTTTAATTAAAGAAAATTGTTTTATGATGTCTTTAATTCTTCTGGGAAGATACCCAGAAGTGGAATATCTGGGTCAAATGGGACTTCCAATCCTTTTTTGATCGATTTTGCATGCTTGTGTCTGGTGGTCTGAGCAACTGATTTGCATATTGAACTGATTTCAATATGCAATGGAATTACAATGGTGAACTCCTACCATCTTGCCTAATAAAACTGTATTATCACTACTGTTTTATCGAAGAATTATTTTCTTATTCCCTTTAATGGTTTGAGCAATCTTTCATTCTTACATCTGGTCATCTGAGCAATATAGTGGAGGACAGCCATATGTAAAGTAACAACCACTGTTGATTCGTATTATTTTGTCTTGAGACTCAGTATCACTTTGAATGTTTGTGCTTTGGTTTGTTTATGTTTGTGATACTGGTATGCTGCTAATGTTCTGTTTTTGTTTGTTTGTTAGTTTCTCATTTACTACTTTCTTTAAAATAAAAAATATTGTTTTTTTTTCTGGAAGAAAATAAAACCATTCTGTGTAGATGTGTCTTAGTTACTTTTCTCTCCTTGCTGAGAGGAAATATACCAGACTTCTAACGTTGCAAAATACCAGACTCCCAAAGTTAAGGGAGGAAAGGTCTATTTAGCTCACAGTTTGTAGAGGTTTCAATCCATAATTAGTTGGCTCCAGTGAGGAGTGGCACATAGCAGAGGGGTAGCAGTTCATGCAGGCAGAAAACAGCCAACCAATGAAACTATATCCAAAAGCATATTCTTTTCCTCATATTGTATGCAGGCTACCCACCCTAGGGCAGGTGTAGCACTAACACTATTTTTTTTTTCCCCTCCGGTACCAGGAACTGAACTCATGACCTTGTGCTTGCCAGGCAGGCGCTTTGCCACTGAGCTAAATCCCCAGCCGCTAGCACTAACACTCCTTTTTTTTTTTTGTTTTTTCTCCGGTACCGGGAGCACTAACACTCCTAATCCCAGCATTAGACTATGAATCAATCACAAACTGTACATTCAGCCACCTCAGAAATCCTGTCTCCCATGACCATGTAAAGCTTTGGGGGATATCCAGACAGAAACTGTAACAGGATGGTTGAGAGAATATAATAAAGATTAATATACTACAAATAACATTTTTTAATACTGGGGTTTGAACTCTGAGTGTTTTATTTTTTCAGTTTATTGGTACAATTTAGATATACATAATGATCATGTGCATCATACAGAATTTATACCTGTACCTGACCTGTCTTGATTCCTCTTTTTTTCTCATTCCCCTCCGCGGCCTTCAACCCCTCTTTCCCTCCTTATTTACAAAGCTTTTCCATTTTACCCTTTATCTCATTGTTTTTCTTTTCTCTTCCTCCCTTTCCCTCTCCCCCTCCCTAGTTCTTTTCCTTTGAACAATTTCTTGCTATTTCACAATATCTATTATACATTTTGGTTCTTATTTTACACCTTTAATTTCTTCTAAACCCAGAGTTTTGTTGATCTAAATCCTTAGCCCCCCTTTTTAAATTTTTTTGTTTTTATTTTTATTTTTTTTGAGATAATGTCTCAACTTAGTGAGTTCAGGGTGGGCTGGAACTTGATATTTTTCTGACTTCACATCCCAGGATGCTATACTTTCTTTGTATACACATATGCATTATGGGAGGAAAATAGTAGATCATACTTAACACAAAACACTAATCAACATATCAGTAATAAGTATTTGTACTGGCTGCTGAATTTTCTAGTGATTGCTACAGAACACGTAAATATGCTGTTTAAATTAATTCATCTAGAGGGAAAATGACGTCAATCAATTGTTATTTCTTTTATCACCTTAGTGGTTATTATAGACTTCTTTAGTTTTATGATCTAAAGTAGTACTGTTGATGGCTGGCAAACAGCCCCATGAGTTCATATACACAAAGATGGTAACTGTGTAGTTTATGATATTAGTGATGCTAATAACAAATGCTGGCTCTACCTGAACTAGATTTTCAACTTAGCACTTATTTGCCTTGTGATCTTAGACAAGTTATTTGATTTTTGGTCATCTATAAAATGTATCTGTTTACATGTATGTAAACTGCTAATGAAAACAGCCTTTTCTGAGGATC